TAGCTTTTATTTAAGAGTTAGACGTCGCAGGTGGGAACACAGATTGTCGGTAGTCGACCCCGGGCCACCAAGTAGGATCGAATTTCCATCAGCCATGTTCCTGATTACGAATAACATTTTCCTGGCGTCAGGACTGCTCTGCGTCTTTTTCATGTTCCTGGCCACCGGAATTGTCACAGGTAAGTGTCAAATAGACCGAAATAAAAGTGTCCTAGGCTCGAGGAAAATTTTGTTTGAGTATGAAGATTGTAAATCTACGAGTGTTTAAACGAAATGATCCAAATTTACTCACACATGAAAGTTTTGCGCTAAAATTCAACTGCAAATCATTATCTTTTGCATAGCGTCCAAGCAAAATAAATAAATAAAATATACACATACATTTAGTAATCACTTCTTACATGAACATGTAATTAATTAAAATTATAAATAATCTAATCAGCGAAAACATTAACACAATCGCAGAATCTCTGTTAGATGCTTCTAAGAAAGTCGCTCTAGACGTGAACGCGGAGAAAAATGTTCAAGTTTCATCACCAGACTTCAGGATCATATCACAATAGCTGGCTAACAAATCAAGTTGTCTACTTGGATACCGTGCCTTGTAGTTTTCCGACGTTTCAGATGTTATTACTGCCTTCATCATCAGGGCCCAGAATTTACAAGTTCAAATTTGTGAATTGAACCCAGGACCTACAAACATCGTACGAGAATCATTCAAACCGAAACTTCTGTTAAACTTAGTTTTTATTTGGTCCTTGTTTTTCCAACACAAAAGCCTTTATATTGTTCGGACACCACGTAATATACAGCGTACGAATAAATTAATGTTAATGCAGCAAGTTGCAATACCGATCGGTCCTCTTTCAGGAAGCTGAAGTACCGACCTCACAGCAGTTCGAGTAGACGTCCAGGGTCTTATTTGAGACCGGAACTGTTTTTACGGCGCTGTAATGTGATTAAAACAACGTCACGTATTTTCATTGAAAACAGAAATCCAAATGAATGGGTTTTAGTTTGTTCAAACACGACATTTCGATGTCAGGTCACAACATCGCCTGGCTCTAATTAGTTTAATTTTCCCCACTTCCGGTTTCCAAAAATGAAAATAATTCTGTTCCGATACTTTGCAAAACTATACAAGTCGTAGAGCGATTTTAACTACAGATAAATTTGGCACACTGTTGAAAGGTACGATTGTGGCCTATTATAGGGAAATATGGAAGCATTTTACTGGAATGGCTGAAGAAATCCACGATAAAAATATCGGATAGGGTAGTTGGGCCGAGATTTGAACAGCTGCGCGCGCATTCCCATATAACGCCTTGTGACTGTGTATTATACATTAATTTCTAGTTTATTTAACGACGGTGCCAGAGTCGAATTAATACGATGATAATGCATTGAAAAGTATGTGAAAGGAAGCGGTTGTGGCCTACTTTAATATATCATTCGGAATTTCCTGGGGGGGGGGGATTGAGAAAAATCACGAGAAACAGCATGATAACCTATCTCCGTGCCGATATTTGAACCCAGAACCTCTCGAAATGTGGCACTGATGTTTATCACTCCAGTCCGACATTCAGTGGTAACAGATCTGTTGAATTTGTTGAGACTTTGATTGTTTAACAACATCTCTTCAGTTAGAGAAGTTAAGATGAGAAGATTACTATAGCAGTAAGAAATTAAAATTACGTAATCATGGTATGTTTCAAGAGTAATATCGCCTGGAGAAACTGAGTAAAACTACGAAAATATTCTGCTTGATTCGCTTCTATCTGGATCGGGGTTCGAATTTCGGAAAGTCTCAAACACGAAGCACGCGATCAACACATTCGGTCCAGTTACAAAAATTGAAGTTCGGAGATCACGGTGGCCAAACGAAGGAGAAAAGAGAGCAGTTAGGGTGGAACATTTCCACCATTTGCCCCACACCTGATTTTTGGATTTTCTGCCAGTTTCGAAGGAAAGCTACGCGCCAGAGAGGGCCAGTGTTTCCGGGCAGAGTTGCGTGTTCCGCCTGAAAGGTCCCCGGTTGCCATCCGCTGTGACAATTCTCCACTTAATTAGGCGGACACTTACATGTGTGTATTGACTCACGTAACAAGTAGGGAACATAATTTGTTCAATTACAGAGCCCACGCCAGGGGCTAGTGACGAGGACACACGCGACGTTGAAATATCAACCACGTGATAACGTTAAAAATATCACAACATGAAGGCGAATGGAGGCGTGGAGGTAAAGCTAAACCCTTACCACGTTACATACAATATTTCGAGCTCAGTAATAGACGTCACAATTTCTGTCTTTATATAACGCGTTTTATCTTCGTGCTCTCGACAGACCACAGTACCACCATTATCATTAACGCCAACAAAAATAATTATCACTGAGAATCTGATAGTCGTTGAACTGGTTAAGAAATTTCTTACCCTTTTGTTGAACCCAAAGGTTAGATTCCCAGCTCATATCCTCACAACCTATTTCTTGATGATTCGCTTTTAATATTATCCTCCAATTATCCTAAAACTACACTACGAAAAAATTGTAAAAATTGTAATTGAGTTTTAAATTTATTAATATAATTTTACACCTGATGATGGTTTAATAAAACCGAAACATGTTGTAAATGTTCCAATTGTAAATCGATTATTCGATATGGAACACAGAATGATATTTTAATTATTTTAATTATCTTATTTTAAATACATTGTGATTTGACGGAAAACCAAATAATTAATTTTAATTTAATAAGTCACAATATGACGCAACTACACTATTTTATTATCCTCCAATGTACTCATATTATTTCTAACTGCTTTGTTCCCATCAAGTTATCAGACTGTGTCATCTCTGTCATGCATACTACATGTTCTGCCCATCTCATCCTACACCTGATAATATTATGTGAAGAGTATAGGGTTCCATTATCGTTACATTTATCTTTATATTTATTTATTAACAAAAATCACTGATGCCCGCGCGCCATTACTGGAGAAGTCTTTACGTTTATCCTAACAGCTTTTGTTCGCGGTTTGTGAACTCGCCCCTCGCCCTAGAACGTCATCGTCCCTGAAGGGATCACGTTTCAGGGAACGCAGGAATTATTACACTAAGCAGTCCATAGGGACACGAAAAATCGGCCCCGACTAGAACAGAGTACATTCCCAATGCATTCAGGTCTAGAAGATGTTCGGCGCTACGCCAGGACATCCGACGACGGCCAGGTCGTCAGATCTGCGTGAATATTTCTTGTTACAAAAAATCTTGACGAATGAGGATGAACTCAAAATCTAACCTAATTATGTTTCTTAAAAGGAATGCGAGTCGATACCTACATATAACCCTTAGCGCGTAACACACGACAAACATCTCGATTAAACCTGAAACATTAATCCGGAGACGTCTTTAAAAACGTCCAATTAAGAGGATATATATTTGTTTTAACATAATTAATATAATCAAACCTCCACCGGTAATCGAGCACAACTACGCCAAATAGTGACTGTAAAATGGAACAATTAAATTGTCTCCTTTGTAGTAAAGTTAATTTAAATAAAGCAACTGTTGTTACTAACACTGACTCAAAAGCATTTAAAACAGTCGTTTCAACGAATGTTACAAAAAAAACACAGCCAATCCAAATACAAAGCCAAAATTCCCTCTGGTACTTACTAATGCGCCATGAGTAGTTCCTGCCTCGGCCGCTTAGCCCCCGGTACCAATCGCACACACACTAAAAGACAAAGTTATCATTATTATTAATAAGGTCATCGCCATCATCGCCCTGATAATGGAGGCGGAAAACACCTCTGAAACGTCGGTAAACGTCTACCAGATAACAAGGCGCTACAACCAATTAAAATGAGTTTGCTATTTAAATTTGTGCAAACAGAAAAATAATTTTAGTATAAAACAATGTGGAGTTATTACCTCGGTCCACGTTCCATTTGACCAGATTCCCCTGAAGACTGGGGTCACCGTTGTCCCCCCCCCCCATCCCCCACACACACACAAATATTCTTAAAGTGTCTCCATCTTTGTGTCTTAATTCTGAACTAGAGTTCTGAACCGATGAGACGAGAATTATTTTAAAAGATAGTTACAAGAATACAGTGTCTTACATTTCGTAATTAAAATTCGTAACACACAAACACACGCTGATTCGTCATCGACAGTTATATTCGTCAGTGTTGTGTTTTGTATTCATCCGCCCGTCTTGTCACAAGGCAAACATTTTTATTTGGCCGCTTATACGAGTTTCGTGAGGTGAAGTTATTTGATGTCGTTGATAAATCAGGGTTTACCGCGGGCGTAAAAGATTTTGGGGGAACAACGGTCTAACAACATAATTTAATATATATAATAATAATAATTTTCTGGTCCTCAAATCCAGGCTTCTTTAAAATCAGCAAAGAGTTTATTCGTCGATTTCGTACGACTTAAAGCGACTTATTTCTGTCATGAACTCGTTTTATGTTTTCTTTGAGGTACGGACTGAAAGTGTAAATATTATTCAGACTAGCTTCGTGCTTCAAAGGGTTAACAGAGACAAATTTAAATGTGTTTTCGCTCTGTATTCCCGGGAGCGGAAAGATTTCTTGCGTAATTCGCGCGGTGTTTCGGACAGATTTTACCATAAGTGTAATTTAGAACGTTGCTAAAACTTGCTGTCGAAATCGGAAATAGTTTCACGGGAGAATCAATTCAAGCGTGCATCTCCCCCTTCCCCCTGCCAGTCGCTAATTACGGGCCCAGGTGTGGGTCAGATGACGGTGGGGGCGGCAGATTCCGCAGGACGCAACAGGTGGATCCACGGGATGTTTTGTTCCAACCGCCAGGACACCTGTACCCAAAAACAAACCGACTGTGTGACTTTTTGCTAGCCGTCAGCACCGAAGTATCGGCCAACCTTTGTCGGAACACGATTAGCGGTCGAATCAGAACTGAAAAGTAAGAGACCATCAAAATAAATGGACCGAACAAGGATAAATTTAAATAAAAAATTTATACCACACTAACAGGTGTTAACCGCGTTGGCCCGGATGAAACTTCGAAAAAAAAATACTTAAGAGACTTCATGTTCTCACGACAGCGATCGTGAAGACCCTCATCTTCGTAACGAAGACAGGATGTTTTAAAAAAATAAAAGATGGCGTCTACCAACGAGTAAAGATT